CTCAGGATGTCACAGGAGTCAAAGACAGGAGAGGCATAAAAATGCTTGGGAGGACAGTGGTAAGGGATTATTGTCAGAACCAACAAAAATCCCCACACGGTTCATTCCTGCAAAAAGACCCGGACAGGGCTTCCCAAAGCTATGGCACTGTTTCATGAACTTTACTTCATCCTACTTTTTGGTATCACTGGATTGTTTTGCAAAAGTGTATGCTATTCAGACTTAGGAATTCATGGGGGGGGGGGGGGCAAAAAAAAGATTCATTCATTTGAGCTGCGCACGGCCTTACCAAGATTCCCTGACACCCTGAGTGCCACTGGGGATCCCTGGAGCCAGCACTGCCGATGGCAGGCACAAGCCTGCACAGCAGTCTTCTGACCGTGGGAAGCGGTGCTGTGGCCCGGCTTTGTAAGAGGTAACCCTGCAAGGGCACAGAAGCCCTGCACACTGAGCAGAGCTGGACCCCCCCACACACACTACCCACCTCTCCCCTTGCCTTTGGAAGACTTGGACCTCTCAGGAAGTGCAGCTCTGACCATGTGCAGTGCCCTGGAACACTACGATGGATACACAGCAGCTGGGGTAAGACTGAAGCGCCAGAACCCCCAAGGAGGCCCCTGCAGCCCCAGTCTCGGGAATGGGAGTGACCTGCCTACCTAAAGGGAGGCCCACCGAATCCCGGAAAGGCCAGCAGCAATGTGGTGGCCAAGCCCGCCCCCTGCTGGCTAGGTCTGGAGCAGCAGCGCCAGCCACTCAGGGCAGGGTTTCTAGGCAGCTACAAGCCCCCCCACCCCCAGACCTCCAGGCCCAAGCCCTGCTCAGGCCCAGATGCCCAGAGGCAGGGATGGTGTCAGACCCAGGTCTGGTGGGCCCAAATGTCCATCTCCTATGTCTGCAGCCTTCACTGGGTGGGGCATCTCCTGGGTGTTTCCTGATAGTAGCTACAAGGAGAGGAGAGCCAGGAGTGTGCAGGGAAGGAGGCCAAAGGGGTGGGGTGGGGCGGCTCTGCATTCCTGCTCTGGCCAGCTCCTCCCAGGCCTATCCTTGCCTCCTGGGCAGCCAGGAGAAACCAAGGCTGCTACCACTGCCCGGATTTCCACTCCCGCCCCCAGGTATTGATTTCCTGCATCATTCATTTGCCAGGCCTTGGCGGCTGTGATTAGCTCCCTCCATTCTCCCCACGGAGCCCCCGCCCGGCCCTCTATGTTCCAGCAAAGCAGAGCTAATACGAGGCTCTAAATGAGCCTTTGCCACCCTGGCCCCAGCAGCTCACAGCCGGGCTTGGCCAATTACAAGCAGGCCCTTGAACAGCCCAGCCTGGGCCCTCGAGGGGGCTCTCCTGCTGATAAAAACCCATGCAAACCCATCTTCCCCTCCCTGGAGTCGCCCCTAACCCATTGATGCCCGGCCTGAAGTCCCAGGGGACATCCTAGAGATCTTGGACCCTGGGGGTCTGTCTCTCTGTCCTCACAGCATGAGCCTGGCAGCCTCGGGGCTGGCTCAGGAGCTGGCACCAATTTAGGGATGTGCACAATGCTGGCAAAGCAAACGAAATAGCCTGGATTTGTGGGCACGGAGCTGTTCCTGTCCCTGCCTCGTGCAGTATCTACGGTGGGAAGAAGGATGGAATCAAAGCAGGAGGCGACATCTGGGAAACCCAGAGCCTTCTGCTGCCGTCGGGGACCAACCGTGGATGCAGTGCCTTCTCCAGGGAAGACCCAGAAGTGAACAGCCAGAGTCAAGGCAGCGGGAGAATTGCTAGTGGAAAATCCCAAGTGCCCAGATCAACACCCCAAAGATGAGACGACACTGGGAGAGGAGACTTCCTGAAACTCCTTCCCTCCGCTCCCCAGGAGGGGAAAAAACCTGACTTGGTGATAATTCTGTAAGCTATGTTGCTCTTGTCAAATTATTCAACATCTGTCTTCATGTTCCCACAAAAATTAGCATAGGATAGTAGTTTCTGATGACACCTTTGGTGAAATATTTTGACTTCCACCAGTAAGTTGCAAACAACCTGTCTTAAGGATAATGTCAATTCCCACCCCTGCATATTAAATAATCCAGTGGTCTGCTGGGTTTTTGTAAGGGAGAGGAATCCCTTCCACCCGGCCCTGGCTGGAGATTTGACTGCGTTGAGAGGAGCAGAAGACGCAGGCCAAAAGTGTGGGTGTTCTCAGCACTCAGGGTACTGTTCCTCCATCTCCCGGCTCCTGTCTTGCCCCAGAGCAAGGCCTCTGAGCCCAGCCCAGCACCCTGGCCTGTCTGAAAGCAGATTACAGGATCTACCCGGAGGACAGCAAACTGGGCCAGGAGACTGGGAAGCGAGGAGGGAGGGGGATCGGCTCCAAACAGACCATCTGGTCCGGCTCTGGGCTGCTGTAGCATCTGTGCCCCAAAGAAAAGAGAAGCCACCTGGCCCCACTGAGCCTCCCTAGCCCTGCTGCACACAGCAGCACTTGGAGCAGGCGCGGACCACGGTAAAAGCTGGGCCTAGGGCTCCAGGCGCCTGCTCCCACAGGCCAGGCCAGCTGCTGCCCAGTTTGCCCGGCATCCTCCTTCCTCTCTTCAGTTCGGGTTCCTTACGTCAGTTAGGTTACTGCCTTCCCCAGCACCACCGGCCAAGGGGCCAGGGGGCAGAGTCTGGGCTCATGGTTTTTCACCTGTGCCTTGAGCACAATGTACTGCCACCCTCCCCACGGCCAGGGTCACAGCCTCCCAGCCTCCCCTCCCGAGGACTCCACTCGCAGAAACCCTTCCACGGAGCTCCCTGCCCTGCTGGAAACCAAGCTCTAGACAGACTTCTTGGGGAGAAAGAATTCCAAGAGGTGCTCAGCCTCCCCAAGAATGGCCCTTACTCACTCCACAAACTGCTGTGCTCCCGGGGTGTGCCAGGCACCATGTGGGGGACTTTCCGCAGCAGGCACAGGGACCTGAGTGGTTACCTCTGTCCCCCACCCACTGTCCTCACTCTTTCCCGGCGCTTCATCTTCAGTTGGATGGGAACAGAAGAGTAAACCCCATCTCCCCATCCTACTTCTTAGACCAGCCCCAGCCTACAGGGGTGCCCGAGTCCCTGTACCTGCCCAGTAATCTTGCATAGGGAAGAACTCAGCAGCCTTGCGTGGTTCTCCTGCTCCTGTTAGATCTTTCCCTCCCCTTACACCTCAGGAAGACTGCACCTCAAAATTCTCTGTTCTCCCCAGGAGCCAAACTCTCCAAGGGGAGGTGGAGAGGATGTCACCCAGAAAGCCAAGGTTGTCCTGGTGCACCCAGCCTGCTTTGATTTGTACTGAGTGACAACAGCTGGCATTGGGCCCACGAAGGGGGAGACAGAGACCTATGAGTCCACAAAGACTTTCATTTTGCAGAGCCTGCCCTTGTCCTCTGATGCCACCCTCACTGCTGGGGGCTTCCCAGACCAAGCCCCAAGCAGCCCTGGAGAAGGCTGCAGAAGCTGGAGGGTTGGGGAGGCTTGACCACTGAGCCGGGCTGGAAGACCGGCACAAGGGCACATTGAGGGAGGACACAAGGGTGAGGGTACCCTGAGCCCCTGAGGAAGCACCAGGCTCAGGAGTGTCCCTCTTGGGGCACCCCAAGGAGGCAGCAGAGCTGGAGGGACTCCTTGGGGAAAAAGAAGGAAGAGGAATCCCCAGGTCGCAGGTGTCTTCTTCTGTCCTAAGGAACCAAAGCCCCCAGCAGACTCCAGGGCCTCCTCCCCACAGCCCAGCCTCTCCGGGTGCCTGCAGCGCCCCTCCTCCTCCTGCCTCTTCTGGCCTCTGTGAGGGGCCAGGCTGCGAGATACACAAACTAATTAAGAAGCAGAGTTTGGCCACATGCCTGGGCCCGCCTCACTAGGGAATTCAGCCTAAGCCAGCTAGCTGTGTAAGGCCAGAGGCAGGCCACCTCCCAGACCCCCACTCCAAGACACCCACTCCTCTTGCCGCGCACAGAAAGACAGATCAGGACCCCTCCAGAATGAAGCATTTAGCACCTGAAGCTGGCAGCCAGGGGACACTGCCTCTGCCACCCTACACAACCCAGGACAAACTCTCTCCCGGTCTAAAGCGGAATAATGAGACCCTCAGCCAGAAGGAATGAGAATCTTGCCCACCTCGTCACACATTAAAAAGGGGTCTACAGAGCCCTCCCCGCAGAAGGGAGCGGCAGAGGAAGGGCCATGGGCCCTGCAGACCGCTTGGGTCACAGCACGGTGGGAGGGGTGAGCCGGGGTGACCGTGAACGGCTGACGCCTGCTATTGGGGCCTTCCCGGGGAAAACGCACGGGGTGGAATGGAGAAGGGGCCGAAGCTCTGCGTGGGGCGCTGGAGCAAAGCCGCGCGGCAGGAGGCAGAGTTTGGCCACGTAGCCCGATGGGTGCGTGCAGTGTTTGCGTTTGCTGGGGACACAGGCTGGATGTGTCTGTGTGAGCAGGCAGGGAGAAAGAAGGTGGGGCTGGGCGGCCAGCGACGGGAAGAACCGGCTCGGGAGAAGTCTGAAAGGGGGTTCGGCGGACGGGGGGTCCCCGAATCCACTCCTCCTATCAAGGAGCGAACGGGGACAGCGAAGCCGCAGCGCCCGCGGGCGGAAGGCGAGCCCGGCGCCAGCCCGGTAAGCAGCTCGCCGGCAGCCGCGCGCAACTCGGGATCGCGCTGCGCTCGCTTCCCATCCGGAAGCCGAGCCAGAGGACGCCGTTTCCGAGTAAGTAGCTGCTCCAACCCGGTGCGTGGGGTCTCTGAGCCACTGGGGTCCAAGTCACTCCTGCACCTGGCAGGATTTGGGAAAACGGTACCTCCCCCTGACACCCCCAGCTTCATGCCAGACCCTATTCGCCGAAGCCACTAGCCTGGTCCCCTCGCGCCGCGGAGAGGGCGGGACGCGGTATCCACTCGGGAGTCCGAGCCGAGGTCTCCTCCAAGCCCCAGCAGTACGCACTTTGCGCCTCTTGCAAAGTTTCCGCGCGGGGCTAAGCTAGCGTGGAGTGGGACGCAGGCTCTTACCGTAGACTCCTTGTCCCCGGCAGTGGAAGGGGATCAGCGCCAGGAGTAGCAGGCAGGTCACCTCCATCTTCACGGCCGGTGCTTCATCCCCGCGAGGCGGCGCAGCCCGAGACGCGGCAGGGGCGCATCCGCCGGGGACCCGCGACGCCCCCTGTGTCTCCTTGTTCCCCTGAGAGGCGACGGAGACCAGGAGATTGAGGAGGCGGAGGCGGCGACCGGGTTTCTCCTCCGGCAGGGCTGCTGCCCGCGCGGGGACGCAGGGGGCGCTGGCCCGGCCCCGAGTGCCGCCAAGCGCCCGGCGCTGCAGCCAGCGCCCCGGCGCGAGGAGCCTGGTCACCTCGCCGTCCCCAGGCTGGCCGCTGGGGTTGCTGGGCGCCGGGGACCTCTCCGCTGCTGCAGCGGCGCTTCAGTCCAACAGGCCACCGACGACTGACAAACTTGTCTCCCCGCCCAGGGGACGCCCTTCCACCGAGCGGGGGCGCGGAGGCCGGGACTCGGCCGGGGTTAATCCGTTGTCTCCAGTCCTGCGCGTGACGCTGAGGGCTGGGCGGCCCGACCCAAGGGGGCCCGCGCTGGGCACCCTCCCGGCAGCCACGGAGCCCCAGCGCCGGGCCTCCCGAGCCTGGCAGCAGCGCGGGCTGGGCTCGGCAGCTGGGCGAGCGCCACCAGCGCCCGGGTCGGCGAAGTTAGCTGAGCCACCGAGGAACCCGGAGGGGAAATCGCGCCCCGGCGTTCCCGCGGGAATCTACAGAGCAATTCCAGGCACAAGCGACCCCAGACAGCCAGGGAAGGAGGAAAGTTTGAGTCGTTTGAAAGACTGTCGCGCTCTCGCCGAGACTGGGGCTGCAGCGCGGGCGCCGCCAGCCGCCTCCGCTGCCTCGCCGCGCTCGGCTCCCGCCGTCTGGCCGCGGCCGCCGCGCTCCCCGGCTCCGCGCTCTCCGGAGAGCTGGGCTGCGCCGCGCCCCAACTTGGTCGTCCCCGCCCCCGCCCCGCGGGCTCGGCCGGCGGGGGCCCCGAGCGGGCGGGCGGGGCCGAGCCAGGCTCCGGGGCGCGGCGGCCGCTCGGCTCAGGGCCGCGGGAGCGCTCCGCTCGCTCGGCAACTTGGGCTCCGCTGTGCTGCCTTTGCGCCCCTCGGAGCTTTTCATTCCGCGCTCCCCCCGCCTCCCTCCTGCTCCCCCGCCCTCTTCCCTCCTCCCTCCTCCCTCCTCCCCGTTCGGTCTCTCGCTCTCCCACCCTTTGTCGCTCGCTCTCGGGTTTGATTCCCCTCCAGTTAAAAAAAGGAGCCAATTAAAGGCAGCCCAGCTCGCCCGGCCCAGCCTCTGTCCAATTTCCTCGCCTCCCCCAGGACCAATTAGAGAAAACAAAACAGGGCTAGGGGAAGCGCTCTCTCCCGCTCAATCGCCCCTCCCCTCCCCCACCCTTCCTTCTCCCCTCTCCCCGCCCCCCCAGGCCCCCAGCAGGAAAATGTCAGAAAGCAGAAATGGATCCATCTATCCCAAGGACAGCGGCAGAGAGACGCGGGTCTCGGCGCGGGCTCTGGAGCCGCGCGCTCGCCCGCTCGCTCTCCGCCGCCCTTGCACGCCCAGCCTGGCTGCCCGAGCCGGGGTGCAGCACGACCGCCCGCTCCGGAGCCCCGCGCCTGCAGGACACTGTACACTTCGTCAGTGTTTTTGCACTTTATGGAGATGGGACCGGAGTGCGGAGCCGAGGCCGAGGCCGGGGCGTCTGCGGCTCCTGGGGAGCGGCGGGCGGGAGATCCAGCCGCCCGCCGCGGGGCTGCCGGACTGTGTGCTCGGCTCCGGAGTCCTCCACCCCACCCACCCCGCCCGCCGAGTGCTCGCCCCTTCCCCGGTCGCTTCGGCCTCCCCGCGGGTCGCACGCCGGGGCCATGGCCAGAGAGGGCGCACTTAGATCTATGCCCTTGCCGCGGCCCACAGGTTGCCAACAGGTTTGCCCGCAGCAGCCCTCTCCCGGCGCCTCCCCGGCCACACGGTGGCCTTCTCTGCGCGCCCCACTCCCCAGCCTGCCTCCCCAGGACCGCAGACGGCCCCGGGCCCCAGGGGCGCACGCCCTTCTGCAGCCGAGCTGGGCCCCGCTCCGGCCGCCCGCGCGAATCCGGCGCTCCGGGTCTCGGCTCCCCCGGCCGGCCCTCGCGAAGCCGCGGTGGGGACCGCGCAGCTCCGGAACGCCGCGGGGAGGGGCGCGGGCTGGGGCGCGAGGCGGGCTCCCCTGGCCTCCGATGGCGCCCCGACCCGGGTCCCGCTCATCTCACCTGCTCCGCCTGTCGCCGTTATTTATCTCGGCGTGTGCGCGGGATTGTGCTGGCGCGGGCCCGGGCGAGCGCGGCAGCCGTGAGAAGCCGGGAGGCTGCCGTTCACCCGCCCACCCCCATCGCCCGGCGGAACTGCCCGGGATCCTGGCTGCGTCGGTTCTCAAACTCAAAAGAGCTGTACCCCCCACCCACCCAAAGTTAATTTTTCTGCCAGCAAAAATGAACTTAAAATAACAATAATAAACTGCACCTTCCGAGGCCCATTTCCTGCTGGGCCCCTCCCCTGACCCCCTTCCCCAGGAAGGCGGGAGCTAGGGGCCCGGCCTGGTGGTGTGGGGGGGGGCGCCACCAGCAGACACCTCTGCTGGTCCCTGCCCATCGCAGGCAGTCCCGGAACCCCGGAAGACTCTTCTCCCCGCTGCCCACACTTGCTTGTGCGGCGTCCTCCCCTCCCCCTTCCTCTCCCTGTCCAGTAAGTCCAACGCCGAGTAAGGGACCCAACCCCAACTTTGCGCTGCGCTCCCAGCTAAACGAATTAATGAGAGCTGCTCATCATAGGCCGGTTGCCACAGATCCTAGACACCCCCACTATTGACATCCTTTTCATTCTCCACCTCCCGTTGCCCCAAATCGGGGAAACATCATTTATGCTTCACAGAAATGCAAAGCTCTCTGCTTCTTCCCACCTGGTCTCAGGAGGAAGCGGTACCCATTGAGGGTGGCTCCATTCATTGTCATCCTCCCCTTACTGGAAGCATTCTAGAAACCCCACCTCCCCCAGGCAGCTGCAGGGATGCTGTGGTGATTCCGGCTCTTCCTGGCTTTTGGTTCTGAGCTGATGAGTATGTCCTGGGAAGCTGCCGCCTTCTTTTCCAATTAGCTGTTGCAGCCCCAGCCTAGTGGTGAAATGCTCCTCTTTGGCTTTGAATTGACTAAGTGACAGAGACCCCCCCCCCATCCCCACCACCTGCTCAGCCTGATGGCTTTGGAGTTTGTCCTGTGTGGACACAGACAAGGAGGGTCGGGGAGGGAGGGGAGCCGAGGTTCGGACGGGAGCCTGGCTGGGGGTGAACATTTGCTGTCACTAATCCACTTGTGAATACTCCACAGCTAATTCTATGCAGTGTAAATACCTCGACAGCCTGTGTGTGTGTGTGTGTGTGTGTGTGTGTGCACACACGTGCCTGTACATTGAGTCACTTTCTTCCTCACGTGTGCCCTACCTGCTGCCCGGTGTCTGACAGTGGCAGGCCACCACCCCCGAGGAGACAAAGCGCACCAGCCTCGGGACCACCAGCCAGTTGTAACTGTCCCAGGCCTCAGTTTCCCTTTATGTCAGCAGTAGGATCCCAGCCTCACGGAATGGCGGAGAGCAGTAAGGAAGGTAGTAGCTGAAGACACAGGCCGGGCCCTGTTACATGTGTTAACCCTTTCATTCTCCTGACTCTGCAGCTGCTGGGAGGCCACCCGGGCCGGGCCTTGGCAGCCAACTGCTCCCAAGGAAGGGCTGTGAGGCCCTCTCAGGGAGCGAGTCTGGTTCTTGTCATGCTCAGCACTACATGAGGTTAGGACTGAGAGGGCATGAGACATAGACCCCAAGGCTGAGGAACCACCAACCCGGGGCCTAGGGTTAGACAAGAGCCAGCTGCCTGCAGACAGAAGAGCCCCGTGTTTTGGCTCACAGGAAGCTCAGGGCTTGGGCCCCAGGGAACCTGAGGAGCTGTGTGACAGGCCAGAGTGGCTGGAGGCCCAGGCCGCAGTCACACAGGGCAGCGGCAGGCTTGGTCTGCAACCCACACCGTGTTATTAGGAACCCCCCCACTCCTCCTGCCCCTCGCTGTCCTCCTGTGAGTCAGAGCCGGGAAGAGGAGCCGGGAGTGAGGTGGAGGAAGAGTCTTTGCCGGGATGGTGTCATCGCCTGCCTCTCCAGGGAGAGCTCTCTGAAAACCACAAGGAGGCAGGTATTGATTGACTCTCCAAGCAAGATGCTCAGGCTGGAGGGGGGAGGCGGTGCTGACTGGGCGGGGATAAGGAACCCAGAGAGTTATGACCCCCCTGAAAGGCCGGTTTATTAATTCTGGCTCTAACAAATAGCCAATTAATGGCTCCAGCTGCTAATTAGTAAGCAGTTAACTTCCCTTATAAATTGTGCTGCTCAAGACCAGTGATAACACTATCTAGGCAGTGACGCTGTTTGAGAGAGGAGGGTCTGTGGTCTCCACCGCCCCTTCCTCACCTGTACCCAGCCAGGCCCCCTGCTGGTGGGATGCAGGCTGCATCCTCCGCTCATTGACTTCACAAATATTTAATGAGCACCTACTACACACTAGGCACTGCTGGAGATGCTGCCTACTCCCTAAGAACAAAACAACAAGATGCCTGCTTCATGGAGATTACAGTCTAGAGACAATAGGCTACACAAAGAAGAGAAAGAAATACTTTTTTTTTTTTTTTTTTTTGTATTTTTGAGACAGGGTCTCCCCTTGCTGTTCAGGCTGGCCTTGAGCTCACTTTGTAGCCCAGGTGGTCTGGAACTTGCAATGCTCCTCCTGCCTCAGCCTCCCTAGTGCTAGGATTACAGGTGTGTGCCACCACATCTGGCTAAGAAATACCATCTCCATACATAGAAAGGAGTATTGAGAAAATACTCAAAAGCTAGGAAGAGAAGTAGAAAGTGTTAGAGCTGCCAACCATCAGAGCTGGACATTTGAGTCATGGTCTTAGGGGGCAGGACTGACCATGCCAGGACTGCAGGGGAGGACACTACAGGGAGAGGAGACGGCTGGCAGGGGGCCCCTCGGTGGTGAGGAGGGTGCGGCTGGAGTGCGCAGGAGAGGGCGCGGCAGCAGTGGCTGGGGTCTGAGTGGTGTAGGGAAGGGGTCCTTTGTGCCTCCCGAGCCACTGCAGGAC